GGGGGGGGGGAATAGAAAGGAACGCCAAAGCGTGAGCCAACTAAGGGGAGTGCTCCCTAGATAATATCTGAGAAATGATAGGAATACATTTTTAAAAATAATACAAAAGTCAACAGCCTCCAAACTCAATTAATATACGATACGACTTTGTGCAATTAAATTTATTCCACTGGAACAGACCTGCCTTTTACCTTTTTCATGGGTTAATTAAAATAAACCAGGGATCTCGCAACGAATTTACATCGACTCGAAGGAAACACTCATGCAATTCAGTTGATCGAAATTGCACATTGTTGAACGCGTTTCCGCCTTCCGTCTTTAATAAAACGATCGGAAACTTTCAACGTTTCCATGGAAAACGCAAACATTCAAAAACGCTATCCAAACCTTTGAAACGTAGTTCTTCGTATTAGTGCGGACAGCGGAAACGGAAGCCTTCTCGTCTGTTCACATAGTTTTGCTCTCAAATTTGTTTTCCGCTCGTCGAGATCGCGCGCAAAATTAACCGGTGAACCGCAGGGGAGGTGGTGGGGGTATGACCGCGAGAGAAGTGGCAGAAAAAACAACAACAACAAAATAACAACAATATCATCTGTAGACAGACTAAAAGCCTTCGTAGTCATTTATTTGTATTTTCATGCATTCGCCGCTGATTATTGTAACTTTTTCTCATAGCGGGAAATCAGCTTTTCCGAGCATTTTAGTACGGGGAGGTGAAAACGCTGTGGTGGTGTTAACGCAAAGCGTTGGATAAGGTTTTGGATCGAAAGCGCATCATCTTAAACGCATCGTTCGAAGACGTATTAATTAGTTTTAGTCAATTTCCATGCTCACTAGTGTAAATAACATGGCGGAACACCGTCCGGAGGGAGCCATCAACTGGTCATCAAGCGAGAGTTGAAGCCGATGAATTCTTTTCTGAATGGAAAATCAGTGGATCTAAAAATCACCTTAATGGCTATAAATCCACCTAGAAAACTCACGATAAACAAGGAAACGCGCACCTGAAGCGAAGTAGGTTTAGACTTTATTTTTATGCATAGCCGTTCACATTTTTTGAGACTAAGAAAATAACCGTTTTTCTCAAACAAATCCTTAGTGTTATATTTCGACAGTTGCGCCATCTCAGTACAGTCAGTACATCTCAGTATGTGTACGATAACCCCAAAACTAAAAAACTGATGAATTAAGCTCGTAAGTAGCGTTTACTGCTACACGAGGTTGCACCAAAACGACCATCTATAAAGCTTAGCGACTGAAAAGGTCTGGTTTGGGTCAGGTATTTTGGTTTAAAGTAGACTACGAGTAGTCCCTCTTTCGTTTACTCCGTCGAGCGAGACCGTAAAATATATGTCTCTGTCAACTTATTAGCTGGAGTATGGCAGTCATCTTGCGCGACTCCGCGGTCGTCGTCGTCGTGCGTACGCGCCCACGAATAATACCGCTAGCCATGATAACCATGATGAAAATCAGCTCGTGGGTTTCCTTTACTTTCCTATATGGGTATGGTGCTCCGCTTGGCGGCCCTTCGGGCCGCCCGAACTCCGCTATAAGCCGCGAGGAAAAATGGCTGCTTGAAATCCCCGGGGCGAGTGCTTCTCGACCCCAGGAGTTCGCGCGGCCTGTTTTTCTCGGGGTTTTCTTAGCGTCCGTCATCGGACCAAGCGAAAGAGGGACTACTCGTAGTCTAGTTTAAAAGTTGATTTTCGTTCTATCACGCCTCCCTCCCATTTTAGTTCCCATTGCTATCCCATCTGTTATTTTTGTAAAAATTACTAGAGAATGATCTCAGAAAGCACGGGAGATAGGGGTGTCGCACCTTGGCGGTACGTTGATCAAGCGCTGAGGTCCTCCGTTTTTTCAAATGAATTCTATTGTTTCGGCTATTGTCTAGTTAAACAAAGAACTGTATGGGGTTATACGGAAATCTTGCCCAAAATGGCAACCTGGGTTATACGATTTGCGATTTTTGTGTTTGAAGTCAGTGTACTGAACTAGCTCATGGCTGAGTGTTGATAATAAGACTTTTGAACAGTAGGTCACAATCCTTGTTTGGAAATAAGTTCAGTCATAAATATATTTGCGAAAATTTTTTTGGCAGGCGGACCTTTGAGGTCTGTGAGGTATATGTCTACTTTGGCATCAAAAGAGGTGTTGGGTAGTTGCCGGAAAGTGTCTTGTCGGTATAAATCGGTCCGCCTACAAAACTGCCGCATCGCCTTTGTCGGCCGCTTTAGTGACTATATACTTCGACTACGTGTTTGTTCTTACGAAGATTTGTTGGACTCGTCTATTCCTCTTTGGATAAGTTACACAATGAAACATCGTTGAGTTTTTGCATGTCACGGCGACATTTTTCAAAGAAAAGAATAAGGAAGTGAATTGACCCTCTAGGGAGTCCATAATTTGAATTACGAATCATCTTTTTGTGCGGTTCCAGCGTTGTCTTCTTTGTCCTGAGCAACAGCTTTGGCTCGAAATGTCAGGTTCGGCGGTTAATTTACCTCAAGCTGAAAAACAAAAAAGTTAAGCGTTTTTATTGTCCACTAAACTCAACAGCTCGTGAGAAAATCACGCTCAAAACGTCAGCTTCACAAACTCGCCACGGCGTTTAATTTTGAGGGCGCGTTGCATTGTGGTCTTTGTTTGCCCGCATGTGGCCCATGCAAGGTTCATATCAAGCAGGGTGGTTGCACGTACATTGGGTTTCTTGCGCTGGTTGGAAGGAACAACTTACTATTTCCACTGGAGGTTTTCCCCCTTTGCAGCTACGTCAGGTAAGTCTTTCACTGCTGGATTACTTTTCTCGTATGTGCTACAGAAGTTCTTGCCCGCACTTGGTTCGTGAAATCTTGCTTTCAAAATCAGCTGTTGCTTTCTGTCTCTCAGCGGACACTTTCCGCCTCTGCTTATTTGAGTTCTGTTCTTCTGTACATTTATATTTAAATAGCTACAAGCGGTGTGTAATATATTTGTGCTTTTTGGACGCCATTTTGTCGGAGAGTGAACATCCCGCAAACAAATCGAAGACAAGCATCCTATTTTTCGAGATGGATGTCGCGTTGAATATCTTGAGTCAGATACACGAGTCGAGTCAAAATTTTTAGGAAGAATTTCCGATGGGGATTTTGACCCAAGGACTGGTTAAATGTAGCTCTTATGCAGATTTATCTATGCATCATTCCAAAGCTGTATAGCAACAAGTTGTTTCTGAGGTGATTAAAAAACAGCGACTCGAGGTGATGTGAAAGCGCAAGAGACCTTCCAGTTGTGTGAGCAGAATAGTAACCCAGCTGGTATTTCCCCCGTGTTTAAACAAATAAACTACAAAACACAGACTGATGCACCGTTGATCATTTGTGGCTCCTAAAGGAGTCGTTTTTAGGGGTTTCAATAAGTTCTGAAGTAGGCGGCAGGCCCTATTAAAGTAGGCGGCTGTAATACTTCAGGGGCCATGAGGCCCCTCCCTCTAGGGGTGTCTGGGGGCATGGTCACCCAGAAAATTTTGGAATCTAGAAGCCCAGAAATGCCATTTCCTGCATTCTGCCATCAAATTCAGTACTAAATAAGTAACAATAGCATTAGTGACTGTGTTTAGTTTTTCAGTTGAAGTTCAATTTTAATTAAAGGATAACATCAACCATAGAAATATACTGAATCTTGGGAATTTTTCATCACATACAGTGTACAGCAATTGTGAAGCATTTGTAGATGCATAGCTGAAGTCCAGAAGTATTACATGAAATGAAATAGGAAAACAATGTTTAAAAATAGAATGAAAGTTTATGACTTGCTTTGTTGTTGTCTTACTATCAGTCTATGGTCACAAGCATAACCATTACTGATATCCACAAGTTTCCATGACTTTTAGAAGCTACTAAAAACTAAAAATTATAAGGTAATAACTTTGTAACTAAGCGCACCAAACAGGTTAATGCACATCTGTGGTGTCCCTGTGCCATCGAAAAAAGCCTTGGATACCTGGGCAATGCAATCATCATGTGGTAAAATGTGCATGTGCCGCAACACTTTGCTAGCAGTGACAGCATGCCAACAAGATAAGTCATTTCACAATACGCTGACAGCATGAAGTTAGTTTATACGAGCCTTGGCTCAGTCAAATTTCATTGGAGAATCTTTATTTATGAAAGTGTTTATGGATATTAACTACGAAAACCAAAGGGAAATCTTTTCAAAAAACATTTGAATTATTAAACAACTGAAACTGCAATTTGCCTGTGTTAGAAAATTCCAGTCAATGTCCAGTGAATAATCTTAACTTTGATTTTTTGGGGCGAATTTGATGACTGGATAATGAATGGATAAACAATGGTAATAATTTAGTTTACAGATTTGTTTCTGTTTCCGGTCTTGATCATTTTATTAAAATATGCTAAAATACTGCCACCTCCAGTATGTTTATGGCTGGGTTCCATTGTCAGAGCACATGGACTGGAACTGAAGTAGCCTCTAAAAGTCATGGAAGAGCGAATGTGATCAAGGCAAGAATTGACAGCAGTCCCTGTCCTCTGTTTAATCAAAATGGCTGACTTCACAAACTACACTGTAAACCATTGCATGTTGAAATTGTTAAGATAACCGTGACCTTTCAGAAATATACTAATACGGCAAAAGGAAAAAATGGACACAGCAAAAAAGCGTTTTCTTTTTATTCCATATTTCATATTTAACAGGTGAGAAATTGTATGACTCGAGAAACTCAAGGAACTCAAATGAAATTTAATGTTAGATTAATGCTAGAAAGTAGGCGGCGATGATTTGGAAAGTAGGCGGCGAAATTCGCCGGTTGCCGGCTTCTATTGAAACTCCTGCATCAGATGACTTCCTCTTTCGAATTCATCAGTCTTGTATATCATACCAGCTTAAGTTACTCGGTTGTAGGACTTCACTACAAATACTGATCTTTTGCAGTCTTGATAGCGACAATCTTTTATCCTCTACATGAAAAACTAAACTCTATTGAAGAATTAAACCCCAAGAATCTCCAAAAAAATACAATGATGCAAGGGATTGCAAATGAAAATGCCGCCGGCATACGTAGGATCTGCAAAAGATCTAATCAGCGAAAAATAGAAATATAGCTGCAATGAATAAAGCAAGGCTGATTACTATGTAGAAAGCTTAACGGGACAACGACACGATAGAGTCCAAACTGAAAGCCAAGAATTGCAACCGTGGATAGCTGTTTTGACCTTGGGTTTCCTCAGCACGGTGTAGCAGCTACGTAGTAATCAGCCTTGCTTCATTGTTATGTTTCTATTTTACTAGTATTCTATTTTTGCTGATCAGATCTTTTACAGATCCTACGCAGACCTCTCCCCTCTTGGTATGATGTGGCTAAGTTTGGTATTTTTATGCACTGGGGACTGTACTCCGTACACACTTGCATCATTGTATTTAAGAGCATGATCCTATTAAGATATTTACATCTGCCTATCACCACATGACAGGATAACGTTTAGCACTTATTTTTGAGGGATGTAAGGTGATGTTAAAGTTATGCAAAAAAGACAAATTTGGAGACCAAAAAATCATCATTTCGGTCCCTTACATGTCTCGTAATGTAGCCTTCTGCGTAGACGCTCTTTGGGCTCGTCCCAAAATCTCTCTCCCCCACATGGAGGAGGAAGATTGCGTGACGAGCCCAAGAACGTAATCGTCGTGGAGAAGGCCCTGGGACGAGGTTGCCGCCAAGAAACATTTCCAACCCTAGCCTTTCCACAGGGATGCATAGATGGCATTCTCACATGAAGTATATACCGTCTACAGACTCTATTTTTGAGTTCGTCGAAATCGCAAGCAAAATATTTAGATATTTATAACCGCGTGTTATCAATGAATGGTCATGAATGAGTTAAAACTCAACGGGGTGACGCTGGCGAAACACGGTCAAATTTTCCTTGCGTGAGTCCCCGCTGACACTTGGGACGAGCGGGAGGATAAGATCACGAGAAATCCACGAGGATCGATCACGAGAATATCATCCAAGCTAAGAACCTTGAGCTGCACTGCAGGCTAAGTTGACGGGCACAACAGCAAACGGGGTAGGTTTAGTTTATCTTTATATTCTTAAATAAGAGCTTTCTTGAAGATCTCATTTAGCTAAATCATAGTTAGTACTATGGCTAAATATTGTCTTGTTTTGATCCGCAAGAATCACGGGGAAGTTGTGCAGTGTCATCCACGAAGAATAGACGTTACGTTTACTTGAGGTGAGCAGAATTGTAGTGTTAGCTATACGCTGTACATTCCTAGCCTTTTAGTCAAGTTCTTTATGTTGTTTCAGCTTACTCCTGAGAACGTTCGTGACAAAATCATCTGATCGACTGCTGTTGCACCAGGTTGCACGCATACCTTTGTTTGAATCTGGTCTATTGATTTGTACGCAATAACTCGGTAAGAATAAACTAGTATCAATCAAAGAAATAGAACGAAAACAATGGAAAACATAAGCCAAAGTTACGTACGAGTTACACACCCGAGGAAGATGGAGTCATCAGGTGTTGGGGGGTGGGTGGGGAGGATGGTACCCTTTGAATGTATGGTTGAGGTACTTTGGAGGGTATGGCAATGAATGAAAATCTCATGTACAGCAGACCATGTTCAGGGAGGCTTCATAATTTACATGTATGGGATGGGGGCCATGTGCACTTGGAGGGGGGTCAGCCATTTTCTTGTGTAATAATTTTGGGGGTGGGCTGGTTACAAAAATAATTATCCTGGTTTCTGTAGCATGATTATTATTATTATTATTATTATTATTATTATTAT